AATTTGCTGCAACTCGTCGAGTTGAAGTGATTGGGGCTACATAATGTTAAGGTTTCCACAAATCTATGTTATTTGGTAGTAAACCTGAGACAAACTAGAAATGGATTCAATATATTGAACTTGAAAAAATCCAAATTCGAAACTTAATTTTACATTGACTCTTCTGTTCCAATTCAATTACACACCGCGTTATGAAGTCAACTGAGCTTTGAGCCGTTGGTAGCTAAGCGTAAAGACATTTGTAATGCAACTTCCTCAATACAGCAGAAAATGAAACTCATTCTGCCAATTGTAATTATATAGATGACTCGATCGAACGCGAATTCGTAGTCTGGCACAAAACCGGAAAGTCTACTTGACATAACCCACGTTGTATGGATCATCGATGTATATTGTTTGGTTATAAACATCGAAGGTATGGATAGAGAAAATAATCCTCGCAACGTTATAAAGGGACAAGATCGAAATTATGGTTTTCGTAATTTTAAACAACCTAAAGCCTAGTGGATTTCTTTGGTGACCAGATTGTCAGCTAGTGTGTCAATTGCGCGAGTCATTTAAAAAAACAAAATCTCCTCCTTCCGACAATTGTCTGTCATAGCAGCGTTCTAATATAAGTTCCTCCTTCGGTTAGGACCGGGTAGTGGATTTGTTTAGTGACCAACAGCAAATAGTGTAAACACTGTGGTTTAACAAACACCGACGTAATATTGCTATTGCCGTGTTGGACTTGGTAGACAGCTTGAGCTTGAGTTGAGTGAATGGTAGAGCCAGCGGCTCGGCGAGGGCTAGGCAGCATTCAATGGCCCCCCCTACCACTTCCTGTCTGCACTGTCCGTCCTAAAAACATCCACCTGAAAACATCGTCGCCGCTCTCTAAACCCCGGCCAATGAATGCAACATTACAGCTTTAAATTGAATACTGTACTCATAGAAATTGATATTAAGTATGGTACGTATTTACAAGTGGGGATTTTCACAAGAACAACTACTATTTACAGGGGATCTACGATGTTGATCTCATATTGTAGTTTTCAAAATTAATTTATAATTGTTTTTAAGTCGTGTCGCCTTGTAAATATTAAGGACACTTTAGAGAAACAGTATGTTGTTCAACGAATTCTTATGTTCACTAATTAGGGAACAGTCACAAACAATCTTTTCCTGACCACCTAACCAATAAATAAAAAAGAAACCGATCTTATTTTATACTTGATTGTACGATCTTTTACAATTATTACGATATTTAGCCTAAACGATAAACAAATTAACTGCAAAGGCCGGATCCAGAGAAACAACAAAACCTTTATGTGTGAGGATATTTATAATTTCATGCCTCGCCTGTTTCCAAAAGTAAAATCCTTCATTTCCAATGGCGACAATTAGTAGCCAATTCCGATGACCTACCTTGGACATTTTTAATGACGATTACCCTTGGCCAGACCACAAAGATTACCAATGACCGATTCCGGTAACGACGACCTTTGACCAATTCTGATGTAAAAGACCTTTCGCCATTTACTGTTACGCCTTTGTCCAATACCGATTGCAACGACCGTGGGTCTACAAGGGACGATGACACATGGCCAGACCCACAGTGACAACTGACGACGCTGACAAGTGTGACGACGACGATAGGATAGTTTCAATGACAACTGACGTTGCTAGGACAATTTCAATGATGACGACCATTGGTCAATTTCATTGACAGCTGACGCCTCTAAGACAATTTCAGTGACAACTGACGTCGCTAGGACAATTTCAGTGACAACTGACGTCGCTAGGACAATTTCAGTGACAACTGACGTCGCTAGGACAATTTCAGTGACAACTGACGTCGCTAGGACAATTTCAGTGACGACGACCCTTGCCCAGTTCCGGCAACGGTTACACGGTCGAGCAGCGAGAGTCGTGGAAGGAGGAAAGAGAAATTATTAGCCTACGACCGAACCATGAATGATCGGGAAAGTCGGTGGCCTGATTGTACGGAATTCCGCAACAGCCCTCATTCATGTCTAGCGAATGCCTTGCCTACGCTCCACTCAGTCCTACGTCTATAGAGAGAGTAACGAGTGTTAGGGCGTACAGGGGTATCAACTAGGAGTTTGTGAAGATGTGATTTGGGCTGATTCTGCCAGGGTATGAGGATGTATTTGACTGCAAAAAGTTACACTAACGACGGCAACCAATTCAAAAAAATGTCGACCAAGATGTGTTCAATACCAAACGTCTCATGTCTCACAGGCTTTTTTCCAGAAGTTCCAGTAGAGCTCATTTTTTCTCATTTTGCAATAGAAGAGTAATTTGATGTACCACTGTCAATCAACAATCTAGTAAGTTTAAGCTTTGTCGCATTTCGAACCATAAGTCCATATAACTTTACTTTAAAATACTTCCCGGTCGATTCCCAATAACCAATAGGGGCTAACAAACTAACAGACTTCAAGTAACAGTCCAAGCAACCTCCATCCAACTCCATCCCAATTCTTTGTCCGGAGAAATCCATGAACAATCGCTTGGCCACCGCCCACGTGCAAAGCTGGAGATTCCGAAACATAACTTATCACCAGAAAGACAGAAATGACAGAGGCCTCATTGATGGCCTAGGAACTCGGATTCCTAGGGTGACCTTGACCGGTCGCGGGGCCAGACAATGCCCTTGCCTTGCCCCCTCCCCGGGGCTGGGGACATCCAAATTCCATCCGCCGGGATCCCTCCTGACTCCAACAATTTATGTGTCTTTTATTACGTTTTGTGGAGCAATAAAGATCACCACTTCCTCCGAGGATGGTATAAACTCAGGACATTCCTGCTGCATAGGTCCAAAGTAGGACTATTGGAAAGACCAACCTTCATTCAATGAATCCAGGATCGATTGTCATTAATGTAAAGTGTTTCTGTTTCTAGATGGATAATGTTGGTGCTGTCCATACTGTAGGTCTTAAAAGTGCATGAAAGGCCAGCTTCAGTAGACATGATCTCTTATTCGTAAATAAAGTAATGTTTTAATATTTGCAATAATTCTGTGGTTTCCGAGCCCATTTGTTCACCAACCAGGAAGAAAAGATAAGAACTCGAACGTCTCAGGCAGGAGAACTCACTGTCCATCTTTATGTTTATCGGTGATCTCTACAAAAGCCCATAAACTTTCTGTAGGTTTGTCATGAAAATTTGTTATTCAACAAATAATAACTGAAACCTTATACAATAGACTACCCTATGTAGGGCCTACCATATCATTACTCAAGTTGGTTAGAGTACAATGTTATGTCTGCCTAAAACCTATGCTTAATACTGATAATTTCATCAACACCAAGCACAATGCAGCATAATAAAAACTGAAATTTCCTGAGGAACAAAGGAGAATCGTTCTATAAATAGAATCAGAATTTTGAAATATCATCAGAATCATTCTAGGCTAATGCATTTAGAACCTAAGTAAATTTAGAATCGACGAACTGTATAGTCAACCACACCAAACAAATCAAGTGAATAACCTACCTACTTGGTTTGAAATTGAAAGTAATAAAAAAGAATATTAGAAAGTTGGCAGGTTCTCATTGTTAAAATATATAGCATATCCAATAAATTCACAACAATCCCTACAATGCTAAGAAACAATATATTTTACGGTCCGGTCCATTAAACTCTCTAACAAATATGGAAATAACAGTCTACTCCCCCCTAATATGTGTAAGAGACATTTTTACAGGTTGTATGGGACTCTTTAACATGATCCAATTGGGTTGAAAATAATTTCACTAAACATCCTTCAATGTAGCGATGAACTAACTTACTATGCTAACCACAGTATAAGTTGAGTTATCAAAGAGGAAAATACTCATGATATTAATTAATAGGCCTAGCACATTTACGCCTAACAATTGGGTTCATTTTAAGTCACTGACTGAGTTGCCATGGACCTGTACTAATATGCTGCATATTTTAGGCCTAACTTACTGGTTTAAAAAGATAACTTGCAGAATCTTGTTATAAATGAAGCTACAAAATAAACAAAGCAGGGCCACAAATAATCTAGATCTAGAATGTGTCACATGAAATACCAACTATATTTTAGCTATCAGAACTTGCTAGCCTTATCGACATTGATTTTGGTTATCCATAATGAAACCTGAGAGGGAAAAAATCTGCCCCATTTCTCCAGGATTCGTGATATATTATATTACATCACTCTAAAAGTTATAACCAAGTTAAGTACCGGTAGTCCTGAATTTAACAGAGAGATAGGTACCGTACAACGGTGAATTAATCGTTTCATGTGTACCTTAATTTATTATAGGAATAGGACTTAGCAAATAGGCTATATGTTACAATTACGGTAGTGATGACATGTTGTTAAAAGATTATTTTGACTTGCATTCCTGGTCTCAGGGCAAACGACATCCGGGTTCGTATAAATTCTTTTTAAGTTAGCAAAGAGTGGAATTCAGCTCCCTTTCCGTTCAATCAGTGGAGACAAGTTACATTTACCACCTCAGTGTCATTTTCGGTCTTATACTTACTTTAAGGGCTATGTAATCTTAAAGACCAATGGTTACATGATACCTAACTAGAATTAGTTAGTTATGTTTGACGAAGAAACCTACGAGGAAAAATTTTGTATGTAGGCCCACGCCACTGGGTCTCGATGTTAAACTGTTACGCAGTCTCAAACCCTCATGACTCGTTTAGAAGTAACTTTGGCAAAAATTAAGTCTGGTTACCATAGAATTAGTTAGGCTACTTTAAACTCCCATAATAGGTTAACTAAGAAAGCTAGGATAACTTAGTTTATTTATCGAAGAGCTACGGCTAAGGCTTTGAAAATTAAAATAATATAACTTGGCACTATGAATGTGTCTAGGTTTATGTTAAGGTTTTGTAGGCAAGTTAAGTCTCGTTGATATACCTACATAAGTTAAGTTAGGCTAATAAAACAAATAGGAAAATGACCTAAGTTGCTGTCTAGAAGAATAGTAAAATAATTAACAGAATCTTACCTTCATTGTAAGCAGCAGCCAATAAATTCAGATGACAAATCCAAGTTTAGTTAAGTAGTGCTCCAACCACACACTTCACTTCACTCAAAACACGTTTACCGTAGAATATAATGTACGGTATAAAACACAGTTTAATGCTTATTTCAAGAAGGTTGTCTGAAGTTTCTACTGGCGTTTTCTCTCACTCAATTCAAAAATAAACTGTGGCACTAGACCAAGATATTCTTGACAACCGCACAGAATTAACAGGATTTCGTTTTCATTATTTTGTAATGTAAAATGTTACATTTCCGAGTTTTTCCTACGGTCAGAACGGCACACTTACATAATGTACAGTTAACTTTGACAGAATGGATAGCTAATGAAAGAAAGACTGTTGCAATAAGTTCATTCATTCAACCCCCACTGCAGTCTGACAAGGTTACACCACAGGGAATTGGACATAACCTATAAAACTTTTAACAATCGAGTTATCAACTCGCTACTTACTAATTGCACAGATTTATAAAAGAAACCCGCTAGATAACGCGGCCATGTTTTTAGTGTAGGAGTTTTGAGAAGGACGAGCGAGTCGCCAGAACGTTTTCAACTTACAGATCTGTTCAAAAGCATGGCCTCTCCTCAGGACTGCCACAACACGATATTCACCAACGAAAACACTGAAACACCTGTCTTGTATATCACTATATCAACACTGGTAGACTTCTTCATGTATTGCGGTGATTTTGGAGGTAAAAAACACTAACTACAGTTCAAAAGACACGAGAATAAACAGTTAAGTTATTTTCGCTGCGGCGAGGAGCAGGTCTCGACTGGGAGTGTTTGGCGCATGCGCACTAGCGCGGCCGCTCCCCTCCCTCCCGGCCATAACTGAACACTTGGTTCATTCATACGGGCAAGGACTTGTATCAATGTGCTTTTCTTGTAAGCACCAGACGGAAATTATCTCGTTAAATTATCGAGGAGGAGTGGCTTCGAGAGAGCTATCGTTAAAACTACCCGAGTAACATTTCGATTAAAAATCAAAATGTAATGTATTCGGATTTTTTAAACGAAACTCGAAGATTTGCAACTTGATTCTCATTCTCAGCGAAAGGTGACCTTCATAAATAAGTGGCTCGTTCTCAAATGCAAGCGCGGGAAATGTTTCCTCCCACACACTCAATCGCGCAGTAAACCTTGTCCTGCTATTCCGATACTTTGCATGTTTCGAGCTCCAAGTCAGTCGTTACAAATCAACTCGATATCCATCATCGCTATGCTAATATAAATACGATGCAGTTTACCCCAATTTAATATCCTTACTTCATTTTATACACAAAAATCTTATTATTTTACTTTAGTAACAGCTAAGAAAGCTGAATACTAACAAACTTTTTCATTTTTAAATCAGCTATTGAATACTTCACTTTCCTAAACTGTTATACCAATCCAACCCTTACCAATCATTGCGGTCAATGTTAAGCGAATCAACTACAAAACCCTTTCATGAGCCGTTTTTTTTTAGATAATTCGTTATGCATTGTGTGATCTTTTCATCTCAAAACCGATGATTACCGTTTGGCAACGTAGGGTACAAAAAAAGATTTGTTAAAAAATTAACTGTGGATTTGTGTCTACGGTGTATTCACAATCAATTTCGCCTGGCTAGGATTAATACAGTACTACCATTTCGATTTTGAATGGTTACGTTGAATTAAAAGTGTGTAGGTGTAAAAAATGGTTTTTAAATTGTACAGTTGAAACCCGTATACCTATTGAGGGAAATAATTAAAACGCCTGCAGAAGGATGTGATAGGCAACAGTAGGCACTTTGCCGCGGAGGCGTTGCGCGGGTTGCTGGTCGGAGTTGAAGGCGTCATCGGCCATTTCTGGCAGTGTTGCGGGAGTGTAGGATACACTAGTACACTAGTAGATTCAGGATTTGTTCGCCCTTTCGTTTCCTGTATGTAACAAACTGCTTTATTCTTAAAAGACACAGTAAAATCATGGTAGAAGGCTTCCACCATGCAGTAAAATTGTAGCATTGAACAGCTTTATCAGTTTTAATGATCGCATAACAATATGAAGGTGTCCAATCCGATCCAAAGGAATAATTAACTTTTTAGTGATTTGATATATCCATCTGTATTTTATTATTGGGTTTTTTTATGGACCTGACTAACAAAACAGCTGATCTTAGTCAAAGTAATAAAGCTAATAATAATCTATGAAGCGACTGCATATAAAAATATTGATATATTGAATATTTACTTGCTGTATTTACTTTGTCAGTTTGAACTTGAAGTTATAGGCAACTATACAATTATCTCACATTTAAACATAGCTTGTCTTAGACATATTGTCAATTACATTAATTTATTTATTAGGTGTGAGGTAAAAAAACCTTAACAAACAATAGTACAAACGAAACAAACAATAGCCTAGGTTACTAGTCCTGAAAGTATAACGTGTTTACCGGGCGAGTGTGCTCGTTCCCAACTGTACATGTGACAGTAACATCATCATGTGACAGTAACATCAACAATTCAACATGTGACAGTAACATCAACATATGACATCAAAACTTCAACATGTGACAACAAAACATAACTCCAATACGTCACTACAGTAACATCAACATTTTGCGGTCCTGTGACATCAACATTTGACAATAGTATCAAAATGTGACAGCAAAACATCACCTTCAATATGTCACTACAGTATCACCATTTGGCAGTACTGTTACATCAACATTAAACAGCAGTGACATCATCATGTGACAATAACATCAACATGTGACGACAGTAACATCAACATATGACAGTAACATCAACATTTGACGACAGTAACATCAACATGTGACGACAGTAACATCAACATGTGACGGCAGTAACATCAACATATGACAGTAACATCAACATTTGACGACAGTAACATCAACATGTGACGGCAGTAACATCAACATATGACAGTAACATCAACATGTGACTCCCACATTGCCCGGGTGCAGCTCTATCTGACAGTCTCGTCACCTATCACAGCTCAACAAGCGCCTACTCACTTAATTATGTAACATGTGATTTATTTATCATTATAATATATGGTAATACTACACACTTTCTACGCTGTAGGAGGCGAGGGGGCGATGAGGCCGCAGACTCCCGGCTTGTTCTTGTATCCGATCTTTTTATAGTTATCTTGGTTTTCCTCTTTGCCTAGTAGTGTTTGGAAAACATTAGGGGTTTTTAGTATTAGCTGCTTTATTAGCGAATTTCCTAGAGTAAGACCTAGACCCGGGACCGATTTACTTTTTTCATTTTGATGTCCCCAGAGGCCAAAAACACTATTCGTTCAAATTTTTATATGTGTATATATATATATATATATATATATAGACATATATATAAATATATATATACGTCCGTGAACGCGATAACTTGAGTAATTTTTGTCAGATTTTGACGAAATTTGGTTTAAAGGTGTAAAGCGGGATAAACTTGAATGAGTTCGCGAACCAGCACGATCGGACCATGGGAACCGGGCTTTACGGGGGGTTTTATGGGGTAAAAATTGGTTTTTCTCACTTTTGACCCTCAAAACACAAAATTTCCCAATTTCTCTTTAGACCTTTTTAGTTTTTAAAGAGCTTAAAAAAACAAATAATTTAGTATATAAAAGTATTTTTGTTCGGTTATTAGTAACGGAGAAAATTAAAAAAATTGTAAATTTAAAATTCCCATGTTATTCTTATGGAGAATATTGTCAAATGTTGTAGTTTGCTTGTTTATGAATATATTTTGATCAAACTTGGCAAATTTATTTATTTTGTACTAAGCTATCAATATTTTACTCAAAAACATACTTTATTAGTTTCCTTGTAGCAGCAAACCTAGGTACTCGTTAAACCTAATGTTATTAAAATATATTTAACTGAAAATCAATTCAGACAAATGGAAATTCGCTTAGTCGGCAGGTTTGCTGCGGCGGGGGTATTTATATCCGTTTTGACATCTTTACAGGTTTGGAAGTAAAACACATTGTTACAAGCATTTATCTACGGCGTCTCTAGAAAAATTCTAATTCTTTTAGAGTTAAACAGTAGTTTTGATAAAAAGAGGTTATACAATCTAAGGACAAATTGAAGAAACACAAGAATAGACTACTTTGTGAGCATCGAGGGCTCTGTTTCAATGAATACAAAAACGGTTTGTTTAAATTCATTTCACGAGAAATAGGCCTATGAATAGTGGTAGGTAATTTGTTTGTATTCATATTTACACATTTGATTGGTGATTATATTATTTGTTTATTTTAAACTACGATATGAGTACAAAAATTGCTTGATTTTTGTTTAAGACTTAAGCCTACGTCACTCAATTTTTTCACAGTAGCGTCATGAAATCAGCAAAAGGCACAACAAATTCCTCGCCTGCAAATGTATACAGAACTTCAGACTTCGTGGTGTGAAAAGATAATTATAATCAATCTCTCCGTCCAAAAACTCAAATCAATCTAATGTTTTCAACTGACTAAAACAACAATAATTGTTGTGGGCAGAATGTAATGAATGAAATTCCTGACTTAGTTATCGCGTGAGGACTGAGGGCAGATTGTAGATTTGAATGAGATTGGACGGTGTCCACTCCACAACACCCTACTTGGTCGACCCATTCATGCTGTGGGAACCTCACTGATCGAGACACATACATATTGTATTGTATTCTACACAAGATATGTATAGTTTCATGACGAATCATACTTTTGTCAAATGCAGTTCCCACTTCAGGTGCTTGCAAAAACAAAAACCAACAACCGCACAGATCACCGCACCGGTTCCATCCTGAAAGTCAATACTTACAATTCTTGGTTCGAAACTGGGCTCAGATGTGCTTGAAGGTTTTTACCTAGCGGATATATAATCAACTAGCTGTACCCGCGGGCTTTGCCCCGCTTAAAGGCCTGTTCACACCGGCGTAGCCCGACGTCTGCAGACGTATTCGGTGTATTAATACGTTGCCCGTGCACTGTTCACACCGCAGCTACGTCTGACGGCTACGTAGCCGGTGAGCCGGTTGTTGATTCTTTGTTTTATTATATTATTTTATTTGGTAATTTTATTGTTTATTTTTATTAGCGTTTTATGGATTTCAGTTAAGATTGTCACGGTTCAATTGCAGCTTTTATAGTACCCTGAAAAGTCTGTTGATTAATGAGTTAATGTTGAAAAAAATGTTTCACTCTAATTTTAGGCCGTATATAGTAGACTATAAGACTTGTGCTATATTATAATATAAAATAAATATCATCAGAAAATATGCAATAATTTTGCTCATCCATGGATTACTTGATAAAATATTCTATGGTGTAAGTAAGACGTAGGCCTATGTCTAAAAATAATTCATTAATGTTTCATAAATATCAGCCCACAATATGAACCATAATAAACCATATTAAGAGAGACGACTTTTTTGATAAGGAGATTTACAAGTAAAATGTTAGTGAACATTAGGTACTCGTATGATGAAGTATTATTATATTGATCATATAAAGTTTTCTTAAGGTTGTTATGTTATAGTGATTTAATGATTTTTTTTATTTTTGTGTGATAATCCAACATTTACCACTTATAAATTAATTATGAGGTGGAGGGAGGGTGGCGGTGACAGCCCGGTGTGCTAGTGCGCATGCGCGTATTCGGCTATGCGAGCTACGCGTAGCTAGCCGGCGTAGCGGCAGCGCCGTAGCTTCCGTAGCTCACGTATTAATACGCCGGTGTGAACACTCTCTATGAATTACATTAAGAGCTACGTCAGCTACGTATTCCGAAAAAGTATTAATACGTCTGGCT